GGGTGGAGGGCTGGGGCCAGAGCCGGCTAAGGCAGGTGACAGCTTCTCAGCAGCCCCTTCACTCAACCTTGTGGTTGGTCCCCAGCGGCCCCTGGGCACCTACCCGGACGAGCACTTCACCGAGGAAGCCCCGCGGCAGAGCATCGCTGCCTTCCAGAGCCGCCTGGCCCAGATCTCACAGGACATCCGGGCACGGAACCAGGGCCTGGCGCTGCCCTATACCTACCTGGACCCTCCCCTCATCGAGAACAGCGTCTCCATCTAAATTACCTGGAGAGCAGGACCTTGCATGACAACCTTTGACCATGTTGCTCTAGTCTCAGAGAAAAGGACTCCCCAGAAAAACAGGCCCCCACATGCCTCTCCTGGGACAACCAGGCCCCATGTAACTCACCCCCGCCCAACAAAACAAGAAATAAATACAGAGAACAGAATCTCATGGGACAGCACCTTTTGAAGTCTCTAAGCCTCAAAGTGCCTGCACACCCACAGCCCCCTTGAAGGGTTTTGTGACCTTGTGTTGCTTTGCATCTTTACCTTACGTTACCAAGGGGGTAGAAGGAGCGCGTAACCCTGACCATAGCAGATTGGACCTAATGGTCACCTGACCCAAGGGCAGCCCTCCTATAGGTTGCTCAGCAGCACAAAAAATGGCTGGTTCAACAACTGCCCAAGAAGTTGACGCTGACCTATGGTCCCAGCCTTAAAATGAGCAGCCCACTGAGAAAGGGCCACAGGAAGCAGGGCAGAAGGAGGACGGTGGACGGCTTGGGGCATGCAGGCAGTGCCCATGTATGCTTTCTTGAAAAGTTGCCCCAAAGTTGGACAAAAGGCTTGCATATTATAAAGCAGCTTCCATTTGCAGAGACTTAGAAAATATTATATCACTAATCATATGTTGCCGTCTAGAGTCAGTCCTCAATAATGGAATTCCAACATCTCATACACATTCTTTAATTCTCTCTTTCTTTTTTCTTGTTCCAACTCAACGAGCATCCATTTAGGCCAAAAATGTGTCCCTGTGAATTCACCTAATGATTTCCATCTGTCTCATATTGCAGGTATCAGAGCTTTGGTTTTTCAGTTTCATTAATTTTTACAAAACAATGTGGACAAAATGGAACATATATTCGAGTAACTGCACAAACACGTCCATTGAAATAAACAGAACAGTGCTTCAGAATGTGCAATGTTGGTTGACCAGCAGGCAACATTTGAACTGTTCATTCTTTACTGAAGTTCAGTGTACCAAAAATGATTTAGAGATATATAGCTATTAAACTTCTCTGGTTTCAAGCAACAGAAAACAATTCCTGCTAACTCAAGCAATAAAAGAGTTTATGGAAAAGAAACTGAGTGCCTTGAGGGATTGAAGAAAGAGTTGAACACAGTAAGAGTGAAACACAGTCCTCAGGAAGGACTGGGCACAGGAACCAATGGACATCCTCCTCAGGCACTGCCATTGGAATGACAAAGTTCCTACCATTTTTTGTCCTTGAATTATTTGCCTCAATATTCAAATTCCATGAGGAAGAGTCTATTTGTCTTAACTTGGAGTGGCAGGAACCATTGGTTGCTGTGGCAGAAAGAGTTTGTGCTCACCAAATATCTCAGGTACTTCCCAACATTTCCCAGTCTATCTTTCAGTTAGGTTGAGGCCATATGACCAACTCTGGCCAATAGACTGTGAGAGGAAGTGATGTATGTCACTTCCAAGAAGAGGCAGTTAAGAGCTAGTGTGCCTCCTCCATCCTTCTCTTGCCCTTGAGGCTGCCTTGGGGGCATGTTCCAGAAGACATGAGCCCTGTCCTTCCCACTATCACTAGACTGTAAGCTCACGAGGACAAGGTTCATAACTGCCCACCACACTGTCTGGCACACTGCAAGTGCTCAAGTTAAGTAGGTGTTGAATGGAGGAATTAATACACAAATGATTCCTAAAACTCTTCTATGCCTTTTTTTATTTACCTGTTTGTCTCCCCCACTAGACCATGAGTTTCTTGAAGGCAGGAGCTTGGTCTCATTCAACGTCATATGCATGGTGCCCAGCACTGTGCTGACACCTGAGAAATACTCAACGAATGTTTGTTTAATGATGGATGAAAGGAAGAATGGATGGATGTATGGATGTATGGATGGATAGATGGATAGATGGACTAGCGAGTTGGAAGGCAGTTGTGCCCCAGTCAATAAGCTGGTATTTGCTTCACTCTATGTCTTCTGGGATCAATTATCATCTCCAGGAGAAACTGGAGACCCCAAGGCAGCTCAGCAGTGGGAATCCAAGCTGTCAGTCTCCAACCCTCCTTGGAGAAGCCACTACCGCCTCCACTGCCCAGGCCCTGGGAGCCCCTCTGAATCTCTCTCTCTCCCTCTGTCTTTCTGTCTCTCCATCTGTCTCTGTCTGTCTGTCTGTCTGTCTGTCTCTCTCTCTCTCTCTCTCACACACACACACACACACACACACACACACACAAGCACACACACACCGAGTCCTTGGGCTCTCGGCTGACCAGCCGTAAGAAGAGAAGGTTGTTACAGGTAACAGTCACCTCTAGAGGATATCCAGTTAACTCTTCAGAGTGGTGGTCCCCTTGGCCTAGGGTGGGGACTTCCTCATGGACAATGAGGCATCGGGCATCCAGGCCCCAACGTTATGCCATAGAGACTCCCCACCCCAGTTGGGCTTGTTGGCAGTAGGGGAGGACCAGCTCCCTCTTTACCACCCCCGACTCCTGCCTCCACCATCCCAGGTCTTTCAGTTAGGGAATCAGGGTGTCATGGAAGGAGAAAAGAGGAAAGAGTGTAGGGTGGAAGGTCCCAGAAGTGCGGCGGGAGCCCATCTTATCTGCTGCCACTCCCTGCTCAATGTTCCAGGACAGGGTGGAGTGAGTCACCAGGGAAGGAGAAGGACAAAGGTATGGGTAGGTAGCAGCAAAACGGGTAGAAACAGAGAAGCAAGACTCAGATACTAGCACAGAACTGGGTTAATGAGACAATGCAAGGGTTGCCAGACATAAAAATCAAAGGCAAGTAACCAATGGGAGCAACTATTTGCCACATATAGAAAATATCTGAAATATATAAAGAGCTTCTACAAGTAACTCAGCAAAAAAGAGGGCAAATAATATAACAGGAAATTCACAAAAGGCAGTTCATAAAATAAACCTAAATGTCTCATAAACATGTGAAAAGATATTTAACCATACTGGTCATTAGGAAAGGTATTTAGAGTTGTCAGGGGTGTGAAGCAACCGGTCCCTGGTGAAACAGTGTAGCAGTGCAGCTTTGGAGGAGAACCCTTTGGAAGTCTCAATCAAACTTCAAAACCTAAAAAAAAAAAAATTTAATCCAGCAAACCACTTATAAAAAGGTATCCTACTGAAAACACCCATATTTGCATAAAGGAATGTTTACAATGATGTTTTGCGCAATATTAGTTACAATAGGAAAAAAAACTTTTAAAAACTTGAACGTCCGTCAGGAAGAAAATGTTAAATTGGGAAACAGTCCTACTATGAAAAATAATGTAACTGGTAATCAAGCCAATCTATAAATGCTGACATGGAAAAAACATCCATGATGTATTGTTGTAGAGGTGGAAAACGTCACACAATTATAAGCATGGTATGACCCCTTTTATGGCACAAAAAATAAGCTAAGTGTGTAATCAACACAAATGCCAAGGAAGAAGTCTGGAAAGATGCATACCCACCTGTTGTTTGAGAAAGGGAGTGGGATTGTACAGCAGGGCCATGATGAGGAGTAAGAGAATGGCGACTTCCACCTGAGAGAGAGAGACACAGAGAGAGTGAGAGAGAGACACACACACACACACAAAGAGACAGAGAGAGACACACACACACAGAAAAAGACAGTGACACACACACACAGAGAAAGAGACACGGCGCGCAGGGGTGGGGGTGGGGGGGACACCTGGGAAAATGAGATCTATTTGATTGCCTGATGGATATACTCACAGGGAACAGCCTTGTTAAGGAAAAGTATCCAAAACTGATCAATAGTCAAGAGGACAACTGCCTGTCTTTTCAAGGATATTTAATTTTCTAGAAGAATATACCATTGTTTGATTTTGCTATTTATTATTAATAAAGGCCTCAGTCTATGTGAAGTATGTAACTTGTGTCTGATAGAGATGCAAATGATTTCTGTTCGGTAAAAAAAGATAACCCCAACAATTACAGTTTATTGCCCCATAGGACATTAGCTACTTTTGTATGTAACTCAGGAATCCTATCCTAACCTTAATTCCTTTATAAAATTGCCTATAAATGCCTATAAATACCCGGCTCCTCAACTGTTCTTGGAACCAGCATTACCACCTTGCTGAGCTGAATTAAATCTTTGACTTGTGTTCATTCTAATTTGTATGAATCATGTCTTTAATTTTTTTGAAAATAATACTTAGGCTGGAGGGAGGGGCCCTATGTCCCACCCTCACGGTGCCTAGAGCCCCGTCCCTTCTTCCCTCATTGCCAGGTCCCCTTCCAGCTTCCTCCCTATCTTTGTGAGCCCCCTGCTCCCTCCTGCCATCCAGGATGGACTTCCCGGATGCCTTTGCTCACTACCCAGGGAGGATGGGGAACAGATCACGTCTCCACTCCCACCTCCACCGACCTGAGAAAGAGCTGAGGACGGGGATGGAGGTAAGCGACGGGCTGGCTGCGTGAGGACACGCGGTGACTCAGTCTTCGCTGCTCAGAGTGGTTTACCCGGACTGGGTGGTTTACCAGGGCTGGGAGTGGGCAGGGCGGAGAGGCCGAGGAGGAGGCGCCCGCAGTTCTCTCCCGGGGCACCGGGAGGGGGGCGGAGTCACCCGGAGGCGTGGACAGGGAGTGTCTCCGGAGCCAAAAGCCGACCCAGGTCCGGAGAGGTAGAGGCAAGCCAAGGCTACAGCTTAAGGAGCTGAGGTTAGCCCGCGGGCTGGGGGCGAGGGCTTGGGCCGAGGGCAGGTGCTGGGCGGCACGCGGGATCGCGCCGCGCCCGGGTGGAGATGCTGCCTGCGGGCACAGACCACTGGAGCCCGAGCCAGGCGCACACGAGTCTCCCCAGACCCGCCTGCCCCGCCGCCCCAACGACTCTCAATCCTCCAGCCAGCCCGCCCTCGCCTTGTCTCCTGCGGCACTCCGGACCTCATCGACGGCAGGCCACGGGCGAGTACCGGGTGCGTGTGGCCACCGGCTCCTTCCTGGGCTCGGGAACCTGGGACAAAGTGTCAGTAAGCCTGGTGGACCCGCAGGCGAGAGCCCGGCCCTGCGGCTGGACAACTTCGGGAAGGACTTCAATCCGGGCGCGGTGAGTGCCCGCGCGGGCCCTGGCCCTCCTCGCATTCCACCCCACTTCACCCTGCGAGCCTTCTCCGTCTCCGCCCACTCCCCCCGCCCCCAGGAGGAGGACTTCGAGGTGAAGCCCCCCCAGGACGTGGGCCCGGTGCTGCTGCTGCGCGTGCACAAGGCGCCCCGGGCGCTGTCCCACCCGCCTGGGCCCTTGGTTCCCGACGCCTGATTCTGCCGCTGGTTCCAGCTCACGTCGCCACGGGGCGCCCGGCTCTGCTTCCCCTGCTACCAGTGGCTGGAGGGGGCGGGGACCCTGGTGCTGCGGGAGGGGGCAGGTGAGGGAGGGGACAAGGCTGGGGCTAGGGGAGGCTAGTGTGGTCGTGGGTCAGGGGAGGGCACTGGTGCCCTGCTGCGGCCACAGAGCGGGAGGAGGGGGAAGTGAGGGGGGAGACCAGCTGGGGGTGGCATGAGGGGCACCAGAAGGAAGAGGAGGAATCATTGGGAGGAATCATACTTATTGGTTGTGGGGGACCTGGTGGAGGGATCAATGAGAGGGAGGAAAGAGTGGTTCTGACAAGATCAGGTGGGGACGTTGGGGGGGGGGGGTGGGGGTGGGGAGTAATGGGTGGAGGAGGGAGAGCCTGGTGGAAGAAGAACAGGACTGGGAAGCACAGGGGAGGGGAGGCAGGCAACTGGTGCCAAACATGTGGGGGGGGGGGGCTTCCCTTCCTTTCTCTTTCTTTCCAGCTCTGCTCTTTGGTCCCCTCTGGCCTCAGCTGTTGAGTTGGGGTCAATGAATAGAAGGGGGCTGCTGAGGCAGTATCTGCCTTGGACGGGAGGAGGAGGGGGCAGGGGCTTCTCCATCCCTGGGGGAAGAGGTAAAACAGACCAAGAAACCAGTGGCTGGCCCAAATTCCAGTCCGGAGATGCCCCCCGCCGGGTCTGAGGAGAGGCTGGGGTGCTAAGGGTTGGGGGCAGGCCCCCCTCTCACTCGTTCCCTCCACCAGCCAAAGTCATCTGGCAGGACAGCCACCCTCTGCTCTGTGCCCAGCGCCAGGCAGAGATAAAGGAGAGGCAGCAGAAATACCGGTGAGCAGCTCAGGGGGACTTGGGCCTGATAGGCCCCTACTTCTTAGTTTTCTGGCAACAAAGGGGCTCCCTTGCTCCTGCTTGCTGAAGTCTCAGGTCTGACCAAGAATAGCATGTACGTGAGGAGTCCCAAGTCCTGGCACAGCCCCACTTCATGAGCTCCCAATCCCAAAGCCCTGCCTGCACAACCAGGCCCAGGGGCCCAGCCCATTACCTTTTCCAGTCCCGAAGGGTGGAGTCCAGCCATCAGTGCCTCACTCTCATCTCCACCTCTGCCCTTGCCCAGGTGGAGTGAGTTTTTCCTGGGCATACCCCACTGCCTAGATGCAGAAAACCTCAAGGAGCTCGATCCCAACCTGCGCTACTGGGTCACCAAAGAAGTCAGCCAGAAATTCCACCTCCTCTTCCCGTGAGCCTGCCTGCCCCAGCCCACGGCTCCCTCGCTGCAGCTTGTTTCCCTCCCAGCCCACCCAGGCCATTCTGAATGTCAGCCCACTCAGGCCATTCTGAATGTCAGCCCACTCAGGCCATTCTGAATGTCTTTCTGCAGGAACATCGCCCTGAAGCTGAAGAGACTGCTGGCTAGCCAACGGCCCTGGAGAAGCCTGGATGAGATCCAGCGCACCTTCGTCTTCCCCAAATCACCCATGTCAGGTCTGGGAAGTGAGGGAGGGCCAGAGAGTCTGGGGTGGTCACCTGGTAGGACTGAGAAACAGGAGCTGGAATTGGAACATTCTGGAAATCACAGAACTTGTCCTGCACTGCCGCCAGTTCCCTCCCCTGTCCTTCACAGAACCTCATTCCTGCCCTGAGAAGAGAAAGCACAACTTCTGTCAGCCAGGGCTGCCGGCACAGTTGGCCCCTGGTGGGGGCTGAGGGATCCAGGGAGGATGCTCCACCCCAAATGTCCCCCCTCGGGATGGGCTAAGGCTCACTGTTCTGGGAGCCATTCTCATCCATCAGGACTTCAGCAAGAATGGCCAGAAAGTAAGTTCTAACAACTTGATTTTTTTGTCAAGACAAGTAGAAACACTTCCTGGCACAAGCACTCCTTTTTCGCCATCTCTTGGCTTCGTAGCAAGCCAAGCTCCTAAAGCTGGTGAAATTAAGTTAGGGCCTTGGGGTCTGTTTGCTTGTCACCTCCCTTCCCTGACTTCATAACTACATCTTCAAACTGTCCCCAACACCGAGTGGCTCTGAACAACTGGAAACACCTGTCCTGTGAATAACCTCAGCAAATTAGGAAAAAACATCTGAAGTAGAAAGACTTTTCCGTTTCAAAATTGCCACCTACTCACGTGGGGCCTTGTGCCTCGCATGCAGACTTGAAAACCAAACTAAGTCAGGAGTCTCCGCTCACCAATATCCTTGTCCCCCTGGGTGCACCGTGGGTCCAGCTGTACATTCTGACCTGGGGTTCAAACTATACATGTTGAACGGTTCAAAAATCCTAGCACCAACAGCACACTCCAAGGCAGTGCAAGCTCTCTCTTTGAATGATTGTTCTGGTTTAACAAACTATCCAGGGTGTCTGCTGGCAAAGTTTCAGAAGAATAGGACACGGGCCTGGTGAGTTTCAACAGGAAATTGGAGAGACCCCCATAGAGCAGAAACCAGGAAGGAGGGCTAGAAAGATGGGCTCTGCTGGTATCCAGCATCCCTCAGTCTTCTGATTTTTCTCAAATTCTACTCAAATCCTGGATGCAGTCTTATACAAACCACAGAGCACCTGAGGCTTCACCAAAAAATGGGTGGGGCTAAGGGAGTTGGTAACTCCTCAGGTAGAACCCAAATCTCTAATCCCTTGTCTTCCGAGAAGCCACTAACTGGTAAAGTTATCCAACCAGTTGGGGTAGAAGAAAGGGAACACCAGAGAGTGACCGTGCTGGAAGGTTGGAGATCTGGGTCCTCAGAGTGGTGGCAGCACTGGAGGCAGAGGACTTGGGTCCCTGGGGACCAGGGTGACCCTCTCCACACCCACCCTCTGCAGAGTGCGTGTTTCAACATTGGTGGGAGGACACCTTCTTTGCCTCCCATTTCCTGAATGGCGTCAACCCTATCCTGATCCGCCGCTGTCACAGCCTCCCAAAGAACTTCCCTGTCACTGATGCCATGGTGGCCCCCATGCTGGGCCCTGCAACCAGTCTGCAGGCTGAGCTGGAGGTGAGGGGCCTAGGGGTCCAGCCTCCCTTCCCTCCCCTCAGTGCCTTCAGGAGCCCAGATGCCTGGGCTCCCAGTCCCCCAGAGCCCATCTCTTCCGCCCAGCCCTGGCTGCCCTTCATCCCCTCCCATTCCTGTCAAGCCTCCTTTCTCAGCTAGCTCAGCTTCTTCTCTGAGTCAATCAATGCCTCCTGCTCATCACTGAAGGGGGGATGTTGTTCTGCAATGGCAAGGGCTGAGGGGGCGGGGTGAGTGGGGAATACTCTCTCCTGGTACTTTACCAGGATCAGTGCATTTGGCAGACCCCACAGCTCAGAAACCTTGGCAATGAGTCGGTTGTCATGGTTACTGAGGATGCCCTACAGCTGGTCAGCTGAGCACTCCCCTGAGCTATTATCTGCCCTCTCTCTGGGCTACTGGGATGAAATGTACCCCCAACCTCAGGAAGATGCCTTCTGCATCATAAGGCACTGTCCAGCAGGGCTCAATTCTCTCACTGCCTACCCTTGACACTTGGGCCTGGCCACAGCAGAAGTCCCTCCAATATTCAGGTGGGAGTCTCTTTTTTTGGAACCAGAAGGTGGTTCTGAGGTGGAATGCCCCACTGGCTCCAGGGAATGAGGTTCCTTTAAGTGAAATACCTGTGGGTGCAGAGTAACTTCCCCTCCCTCCCCCTAGCTTCCCAGAACTGCACAGGGCTGTCCCTCCCTCAGCCCTCCTCCTCCTCTCCTCGCCTAGAGGGGCTCTCTGTACCTAGTGGACCACGCCATCCTCTCAGGCCTCCGCCCTAGTGTCATTAACGGGCAGCCCCAGTACGTGGCTGCACCCCTGACCCTGCTGCACCAGCGCCCCGGCGGGCCCCTGCTGCCCTTCGCCATCCAGGTCAGCAAGGAGCCCTGGGGAGGCTGGGGGGCGGGGAGCATATGGTACCCCCAGGATGACTGAAAGCATATGGTACTCTAAATGCTGCTGCTCATCACTCTCATCGAATCCTACCCAGCCCCTCCCTAATTGTTTTTTTCTAGTTTTTCTGCTTGGCCTCTTTGATTTCTATCTTGATGGAAAGGTTGTGATATTCAGTGTCAGAAAACAAACTGCATCTTGACATGGGTTTCAAAATCAACTCTATTGAATCATGCACCTTTGACAGTTCAATCATGCTCCCAACGGTTAAAAAACATGACCCCTTCTGGACACGTCTCCACACCCTCCCTTCCCACCTTCCCACCCTTCCAGTCTCTGCCCCACACAACTAGGGATCTGGCTGACTTCAGGCTGGGACAAGGAGCCCTCAACCGGCTCCACCACACATAACAACAAGGTGGCCTGGGGTCACTTCGCCTCTCAGCAACTCTGTTTCCTCTCCTGTTGTACTAGAAGTGATCACAATAGGAAACACTCATATGGCACTTACTGCGTGCCTCGCGCTGTTCTAAGTACTTCACTGGCCTTAACTCATTTAATCCTCAGAACAACCCAATGAGAAAGGGATTATTATCATCAACCTCATTTTACAGATAAGGAACCTGAGTCACAGAGAGGTTAATTCACTTTCCCGAGGACACACAGCTAGTAAGGGAGTTGACCACGTGATTTGGCCCCGTGGACACGGTAATGGGCCACACTTTCTGCAGCCAGTTTCTGCCTGACACCTACCCTCCCCTGTGCCCCCGACTCCAGCTCACTCAGACTCCTGGCCCAGACAGCCCCATCTTCCTACCCAGTGATGAGGCCCAGGACTGGCTCCTGGCCAAGACCTGGGTGCGCCACTCAGAGTTCTCGGTACACGAGATGGTCACTCATCTGCTTCGAACTCACTTTGTGATGGAGACCTTTTTTCTCTCCATGCTGCGACAGCTGCCCATGTGCCACCCTATCTTTAAGGTAGGGAGGACCCCTCCTTCAGTCCCAGGAGTGTGGGGGACCAGGGGCTCTCTCATCTAACCTCTGACTCTGGTCCTCCCCAGCTGCTCATTCCTCATTTCCGCTACACCTTGCACATCAACATCCAGGCCCACACTGGGCTCTTTGCACCAGGAAAGCTCATCGACCACGTCAGGGCCCTGGAAGGCCTGGGATCCTCGTGGTCAGCCGAGGGGGCCAGGAAGGGGCAGAGGTTTGGTCCTGAGCCTCCTTCTGCTGGCGACAGTGGGCTCTCTGCTCATTACAGTCAACATCGCTGGGACGGGTGGGCTGCCTGGAGCTGATTGCCAAAGGGCTAGAGGCTGTCACCTACCGCTCCCTCTGCCTGCCCCACCAGCTGGCTGACCGTGAGGTCCAGGACCTCACCCACTACTACCATCGAGATGATGCGCTCCAGATCTGGGCAGCCATAGAGAGGTGAAGCTCTGCTGGGGCATGAGGGCTCCAAGCCTCACCCTCAGCCACATCTCTGTTAGCTCGTTCTTCCATTTCTTCCCATCTTCTGCCCAAACACACTGGTGTCTCATAGTCCTTTCCTGCCTCCTCTTCTTCCTTCTCAGCTCTGTGACCTTGGGCAAGTCACTTAACCTCTCTGTGTCTGTTTCCTCATAGGAACATAGGGATAATAAGAGCACCTACCTCACAGGTTATTAAGATTAAATGTAAAGCCCTAAGAACAAAGCTCAGGTGAATAGGAAATGCTCTCAGAGCATTAGCTATTATTAATATTCACCCCATAGATAAAGTCTCCATGTTTCTAGTTCTCCTTCTAAATCTCCCTCACAGGAGACCTCGTTGGGATGCACCTCTAGTCTCCGCCACAGTGGCCAGGTGTTCTTGATGTCTGACCTCCTCCTGGGTCCCCACCTCCCACCATTAACCTGCAAAACGACCCTCAGGCACTGGGATTTTATGACAGCGCTGCTCATGAGCCTCACATGGCTGCGTTTTTTGACACATGGAATGCAGTGTTCACTGCAGCATCTCAGCCCCTTTGGAATCTGGCCCCCCCTTTCCACCCTTCCTTCTCAGCACACATTGAGCTTAGGGAGGCCAGGCACCCTGATTCTCCTTCTCTCACTATCCAAACACTGCCGCTTCTTCAAGCCCAGCTCATGCCCCACCTCCCCCTGAAGGCCTCAGGGACTCCTCCCATATGAACACCCACAGCTAGAGCTGCCAGTGTCAAAACCTTTCTTAGCAATGGATCCACACACCCTTCGTGAGCCCTACTGTGGCTGAGAGTGGATGCCCTGGTGTGCAAGGCAGACCCAGCTCTGCCCTTTGGGAAACAGTGGAGGAGACAGTCCCAATCCACCAGTCCCCACACGGAGGGACCTGGTATCTAATCCTTCCCTGTGGCTTGATCTAGCTCAAAAGGCTGGAAAGCAAATACCCGCAGGCCCAGTAAACAGCAGAAAGCTAGGGAAGAGGAGTGGGCAGAGACTGTGGCCAATGGAGAATTCATGTTTGTTGATGGGGACAGTGGCGACCCAGCTACGACTATAGCCAGATCTTTAGATTTTTCACGAGAAACCAGACATTTTCTAATATTTAAATATTGGCCATTGATTCAACTTGAAAAAGAAACAAACAAAAAACCTTGGCAGCCAATCAAAACACACCTGCAAACTGATTATGGCTAGGCCCAGGTCTGCACCCCCTGGTGGAGACTGAGGCCTTCAGGTTTGAAGCTCAGCTCAAGGCTTCATACAAGGTGTGGTTGGCCATTTTCCTTCTCTGGCCTCAGTTTCCTCCTTTTTGGGCAGCTGGTCTCAGTGGCCTCTTCCAGCTCATACCTCTGGGGCAGCAAAGGTTCCCGTTATCTGTTAACTGTTAATCACCATGCACTCCTGGATCCCCAGCTTTGTGTCCGGCATTGTTGGCATCTGCTACCCAGAGGACAGTGCAGTGAGCAAGGACTTGGAGCTGGAGGCCTGGGTCAGGGAGATCTTCCAGGAGGGTTTCCCAAGCTACATGAGCTCAGGCGAGGTGTCCATCCCTGTCTCCTGCCCTCTAGACCCCACTTCCCACGGCAGCAGCCCCTTGGATTTCAGCTCTGTGTTCTCTACCTCACCTCCTTCTAGGGGTCCCTTCCACCCTGGACAGCTGCGCTGGCCTCACTGAGTATCTCACCATGATCATCTTCAACTGCTCAGCCCAACATGCTGCTGTCAACAGCGGCCAGGTAAGGCTGTGCCAGACCCGGGGGGACAAGCGGGGTCATGGGGAGAGTGGACCTAGCAGGAGCACTGGCAGCTCTGTGCTTACTGAGTTTGGGGGGTTCAGTTGGAATTCAGTGCCTGGATGCCCAATATTCCCACCACCATGTGGCTCCCCCTGCCCACCGCCAAAGGCCAGACAGACCTGGTGGCCTTACTCCCTGAAGTCAACGCCACGTGCCATGCTCTTGTGCTTTTCTGGGGTGTCAGCAACGAAACCAAGGACACTGTAAGCAAGCCCTAGGGTGGCGGTGGGGGAGTCAGGTTCCAGGAGAGTAGGTGGGGTGAGGAAGGGGTCCTAGGGACAATGGGTTACTTGGAGGGTGGACTTAGCAGGCTGGGCTCCTTGATGCCAGGGCCTGGAGTGATGTAGGCTGCTGTGGGTGTGGTTTAGGGGAGTGTGGGTTTCTAGTAGGTGGAGCTTAGAGCGGTCTGGGTTTCAAAGTGAGCATGGATTGGGTAGTCTGGGTTTCTGGTAGGCTGTGCTTAGGCTGTCTTTTGCCTAGGTGGGTGGGTGGTTTATGTTTCAAGTTGCGTGGGTCTTGGGCGGTGTGAGTGGGCGAGGCTCAGGTGGTCTGTGTCCTTGGGTGGATTTTCTCGTGAATTGGGGTCCTCGGTAGTCTGGGTGCCTAGGTAGGTTGACTTAAGATGGACCAGAATCCCTTTGGGTTAAAAGATGAGGCCGGAGCCTCGCGGGGCGGACGTCCCAGCTTTCTCTCCTGCCGGCCCAAGGGGAGCCTGGGCACCTACCCAGACCGAGCACTTCACCGAGCAAGCCCCGCGGAGGAGCATCGCCGCCTTCCAGAGCCGCCTGGCCCAGATCTCGCGGGACACCCGGGCGCGGAACCGGGGCCTGGCGCTGCCCTACGCCTACCCGGACCCCGCGAGAGTGGAGAGCGGCGCCGCCGTGTGACCGCGCGCTCGGCGCTCCCCTCCCCGCCCCCCGCGCCCCCGGTAAACGGCCCCGCGCGCCGACGGACCCAGGGCTTGTGTTTGACGTGCTTTTTTGGAAAACAGTCGCGCGCAGGCGGGGAGAGGCAAGGCGGGGAGGACCGTCCTAGATAGAAATGCTGTTCTCGATCAGCACGGGGTCCAGGTAGTAGTAGGGGATGGGGAGGCCCTTGTTGCGCTGGCGGATGTTGTGCGAGATCTGGGCCAGGCGCTGGCGGAGGGTCTCCATGCTCCTCCGTGGGGCATCCTCCACGAAGTGGATGTCGGGGAAGTGGCCCAGGGGCCGCTGCGAGCACAGAACCGGGCAGCTGGGACGGAGCGGCCTCACTCCTCCGCCTTGCCCCTTCAGCAGCCTCTCTCTCCCTGCCTCCCGCCCTCGACACCCCCTCTCCTGTCTTTGGCCCCCCAGCCCTCTTCCTATGCTCAGAGTTCCCCTACCCCCACCTGCACCCCGAGGCCCCAGGGCACCTTGTCGTCGGGCTCCCGGCTTAGCGTCCAGAGCACCAACAGGGTGATGCACGTGGTCTTCACATCCGGCAAAGTGTCCATGAAGGTCTCCAGAGTGGTCAGCCCCTTGGCCTGCATCGGTGGGTTCCGCATGGATGGTGGGAAGTTAGGCATCCAGGCGGTGAACTCCAGCTGGAGGTGAGGTAGAGGAGGGATTCTGGGTCAGAGAGCACCCCGGGACTCTTGGGCTTAAATTGAGGCTGAGATTGAAGCTGGGACTCAGGTTGAGACAGGTCGGGGCTGGGCTAGGGGTTATGGCTGAGGTTGGGTTTGAGGTTGGGGCTGAGACTAAGGTTAGGTCTGGGCCAGAGTCTGGGGCAGGGGCTGCTGAGCACAGGTACCTGCCCTGTGTTGACAGCTGCGTGCTTGGCAGAGCAGGTGTAGATGACAATGGTGACATATCGGATCAGCTCAGGCACCGTTCGCAAGCACCTGGGGAAACCTGGAGGGGGAACGGGGGGCACAGGCAGGCAGCGTCAGTCCTGCCCTGGTCCTGGCTGGCAGGCAGAGGGTGCGACCAAGCCGGCTCACCTTGTCCTGCCCACACTCCCAGCTACCACATCATGCCCTCATCCTGCCTGCTTGGCTCTCCTGTGGCCACAACCCCATCTCCCCTAGTCCAGACCACAACAAGCCTTGGGGAGGGGGCCTCAACTGGCCTTGGCCAGATGTCCTCCAGGGCTGCTCCAGGGGCCTGCCTGAGGCGGGGCCCTCAGATCTCTGCTCCAGCTCTCTTAGGGGTGCCTCTCTGGTCCCAGGCCTCTGGGGGGGGGAAGTCTTCAGAAGAATCCTGGCTTTCCTCCCCTGACTCAGCACAGTCCCCCATCCACACCCCCCAAAACACACACACTTCTTTCCAGACTCTGCTCATTCCAGGTGGATTTCTCAGTAGCCTGGCTCTCTGTCCTACAACTAACCAAGCTGCTGGCTTCTCTTTCCTGTTGTCCCAAATGAGTGGCCAGCCCTGGTTGCCATGGTGACCCCAGGTTTCAAAAGCCCAACACATTCAAACCAGACCCATCATCTTCCTCTCAAAACCGCTCCTCTGTCCCGGCTTCCAGCTCAAGGAAGGACACACACCATCCACCCAGCTGCAAAAGCCTAAAACCTGCCAGTCACCCTTGGCCGCCCCCCCTACTCTAACCCCCACTGCCAAACCCAAACCAGTCACCAAGTCCTGTCATTTCTATATCCCCACTGGCTCTGGAATTCTCTGCATCCCCACAGCTCCCACCCTAGTCAGGTCCCTGTCACCTCCCTCCTGGACACCACAGCAGCCTCCCAAACTGTCTGCTGACCGCCAGTGCAGCCTAATATTCTAACCTACGAATCTGAGCTCCTTGCAAACCCCTCGATGGCTCCCTCTGGTGCTCGGGGTAATTCCAAACTCCCTACCCAGGCTGTGCAACCCGGGCCCTGCTCATGGCTTCAGCCTGAGCCCTGCTGGGAGCCTGCCCAACTCCCACTCGCAACACCAGTTGCAGGGACCTGTAAGCAGCTCCCAGAAGTCACTCTGCTTGCTCTTGCTTTTGGGCTTTTCCACTTGCTGCTCCCACCCAGAACTCTCCAGCCCCACCTCTGTCACCTCACAGCTGACCTCCCCATCCTGCAGATCTTAGCTAGATGTTAGCCACGATGTTGGATCTCAGCTAGACCTTACCCTCTGCTACCCACCCCACTCTCTACCTACCACCCCTCCCCAAGCTGGGTTAGGTGCCTCCCCTGGGCTCCTATGCAACCGCAAACTACACCAGTCCCGCTATTTACTTAAGCAGACCACCTCCCAGACTGTGAACTTGAGGGCAGCACCGTCACCTGTCTTGTTCCCTTTTGCCTCCTCAGTAACCAGCACAGCATTTGTCACATCATAGACGCTCATTAAATATTTGTTGAGTGGGTGCTCACGTGGCATGACCTCAGGATGCTCTCCCACCCTCTCCTGGAGCCGGCCAGATCCCCACCAGCTCCCCAGCCTCCAGGACGCTCTGCCCTTTCCTCTTTGAGCTCATGCCTCACTTCTCAGTCCACAAAGGTTGTTTCTGGGATGGGGGACTGGGACCCCTCCAGGTCTCTACAGAGATGACCCGTAGCACCTGAGCTCAGAGAGGGACCAATGGCCAGCCATGCTTTCTTCCCCAACCTCTCCAAGATGCCGCTGCTCCAGGGGCCAGGGCAGGGCCCTATCAAAGTCCTAGGCCAGTGATTTGGCCTCTTTCAGTCCCCAACAAGACATGCTCCGGGCCCAGCCCCAGAGGGCCCTCCCCACAGCCCCAGGGCCCTGCTGGGGGCCCAGGCCCATACCTGAGCTCTCACGCCCTAGTAGGCACTCCTTGAATATCTCCTGCACCCAGGACTGCAATTCCGGGTCACCCTCCACGGCTGCATCACATGGGTAATAGTAGGTGATGATCTCTGTCACGTACCTGACCGGGGGACAGGGCCTCACTTTGGATCCCCCCTGTCCTCCCCAACCATGCTTCTCCCACCTCCCCCAGGATGCCCTGGCCTTGGCTGCCCCAGAGCTGCCCCAGGCCCGTGGGTGAGCAAGTCCTGGGGGCAGAGGTGGCGAGGGTGGCTTGGTAAGGTCAGAAGATGGCACCAGACCTAAGCTCAGGTCCTTAAAAGCTCCCCATACCCCCTCCAACATCCCAGGGTGTCCACCCCAAGTGCCACCCACTGCTGCCCTGACCTCACCTCTCCAGAGCGTTCCACACTGCCAAGCAGTCATCGCGGTAATAATATCCTGGCAGGTCCTGAACCCCACGCTCCACAAAGTCGTTGGGGAGGTAGAGGCTGTCGTAGGTGGTCTCTGACAGAGCCCGCACCATCACCTCAGCAAAGCCCTCCAGGCCCAGGGACATGGCCTGTGAGGGAGGAGGCAGACCCTGGAGCTGGAGAGGTCCCTGCAAGTCCCCCCTTCTGAGGATCACACCCACCTCACCACAGTCTAGTGAGGGCCCCTCCAGCCCCCACCCAGGCTGCCCCACTCCAGGAATTATCACATTCCAGGCCAGCACACCCAGCCCCTGCCTCTGCACCCTCATAGACACAGCACCCACTTTAACCGGCCCCCTCCCTCCACGCCCCCTCACTATCTGAAGGCAAGTGCGAAGTTCTGCTTTTAGTCTAACTGCAAAGGCCAGAAGAAAAGCAAATATCTTGGTGGGGGTGGGGACAGAAGTCTTACTCTGGCCGAGAGTCCCCCCTCATTCAGGAGGAGGGCCCGCCCGATGCTGTTGATCTGGACGGTGTATCGGGTGTGGGGGACAAGGAGCTGTAGGAGAAAGCAAGGAGGACAATGAGAGAAGATTGAAGTTACCCCCAAAGAACCTCAGCACCCCCATTTCTGCAACATCAAACCCCTTCACCACCCATCTCAACTCCTCTCTTGTGGGTCCCAGCTGCCTCCCCAAGTCTAACTGGACTCCCTCTGACGGCCAAGTGAGCCAGGTGGCTTTCTGAGGCCGAGTGAGGGCAGTAATGCCTCCTAGAGGCCGCTTCGCCCAGGCCCGTACCTTGTAGAGGGGGTGACACATGGGTAGCTGCCTCAGCATGGCCAGGCAGAAGGCCTCAGCGATGAGGTGGGTCTCCAGCAGGTGGGCGATGGCCTCGTGGCAGTAGAACTCGGCATAGCGCACCCATGTCTTAGCCAACAGCCAGTCCCACTCGGAGTCACTGGGCAGGAAGATGGGGCAATCGGGCCCGGGGGTCTGGCTGAGCTGGGAGTGCGTCAGGAGGGAGGGTTAGGTGAGGGCAGAGACACACACACAAGGGCCCTCACTGCAGGAGGAAAGCAGAGGGGAGTCTGAGGACGTAAAAGCTCCACCCCCTACACTCCACTCCCTCTGGTCCCCTGAGCACATCAGGGCCTTTCCTCCCTCCACATTTGCTCTTGCTGTTTCCTCTGCCTGTAGTACCTTCCCCCTAACCCTTTCTCTCCTTGGCAGTTCTCACTCATTCTTCACGAACCAGCTCACAAGCTGCCTCCTCTGAGAAGCCCTCCTTATCTCAAGCCCCAGCCACCACTTTCAGCTGTGCAGGTTGTGCACTGCATGAGGGTTCCCAGCGCCCCCGGGGCAGGGGGGCTGGGGGATCACTGAAATCTAGCCTACAGTGTTCCACTAATGAGCTAGGAGCATCAGGGCTTGACTGATCCCCCTCAGAGGGGTGCCTTTTTCTAATTTGGACATGACCCTGGTGGAGACCTCTGGGAATGGAGCACCGCAGTTCCCTTTCCTGCCAGACCGGACTCTCAAGGCAGCAGCTAAGTCTGATTAGCTCAGTGTTTCCAGCAGAGGCCTGGCCCACAATGGGCATTGGTTTATCAAGTGGATGGGTGAATGGAGTCAAAGAGACAAGCTTGCGATACCAAAGTACAGTCCTATCTGGTCACCTCTGTGCATATACACACAGCACACCCACGAGTGCACCTGCAGGGACCCAAGTTCATGACCG